GGACAGTCTACCCTGCCAACATGCAACCCTGTTGACACGACTCAGAACATGCCATTGCCCGTTGAACAATACCTGTTCAGGTTCGAAAAGGTTCAATCCCCAAGCCTGCGGCAGAAGGAACGAAACAGTGGAGCACTTCCTGCTACATCGCGACGCCCACAGCGCACTACGCAGACGATTATACCAGACAGTCAGACTAGAACCAGAAACACCCCGCACACTGCTTAGCGACCCAAAAGTAACCAAAGCTCTATTCCAGTACATAAAAGGAGTAAAACGATTGGAAAGATCCGCAGGAGACCTGGCCTTCACGGAAGTCATGATGGACGAACGCCTAAAGGAAAGGAAGAGGAAAGGAAGAGGATAGAGTAGACCGCGCCTAGGCGCATACAGCGCCGAACGTCTCATGGGAGGGGGAGCGCTAACTCCCAGAGTCAGCTTGATAAAGACAGGACAAGAACGTATAGAGATAGATCAGCCTCAGCGGGAAAGGCAATTTTTTATAAAAAATGATTGCCTTAATGGTTTGCTTGAAGGCTCTCAAGAAGTGGGGCATAATAGAAGATCTAGACTTTGTCTTCAACTGGATCGCGAAGGAAAAAACCAAATAAAACAAATGGCTTTTGGAGAAATTCGGGTACGGGGAATCGAACCCCGAGCTGCCGCGTCACAAATCATGAATGAGAGGCGGCAATGTTAGCCGTTACACCATACCCGACACAATATGTTATCTGAACAAGGCCATTATGTAGTCTGTCGAAAGCTTGTCCAACTGAATGATCCAGCGTTGAATTGATTTCACAACGCGTTACAGTACTGGGAGTTGTGGGAGGGTAGGAAATAAGTAACCACACGTCGCCCCGATTCTACATTTATTATCAGGTCAAAGTCCCTCCAGATGAAACAAGCTCACCAAGAGATCTAGACTATTGCTGTCGAAAACCTGGAAAACCCTCAAGTACTTGGTCCACTCGAACCCACGGAGGGTATAATACAATCCTTACGAGATAGCTTTAGTTTCAGGCAGGTCTATTCCCCACTTTTCACTACCCCGAGTATGTGAACGAAAGAATGAGGAATGCGCTCGAGACAAGTAATCCCATACACTACATCAACAGAAAAATATACATAGTATACAAGAAGAATTAAATCTCGCACTGTTCTAAAGTATGTAACATATGTTTCCAGATTGCATTTCTAGCTGCGGAACTCGACAAGATAGCCAGGGTAAGAAGATACCGCGGACCACGAGTAAGTACGTCGAAAGCGAGGCGATAACCAGTGGCCGGTGCTGACGTGAAATGTGATGAGTGTGCCATTACATAATAGAAAAAGTCGAGTCGCGTCGGGAAAGCGGTTGCTATAGTGGGGGAAAGGCGTGCGCGTGTTTGCAGGGTGGATGAGGCGTGGAAAGGAAGCCCGGAAGGTGGACCGATGGTTGGTTGGAGGACAGAGTCCTAGACGTCTCAGAGAGGAGTAAATACTGGGAGAGTGGATAGCCCGGAGTTGGAACATGTGAGAAGACGATGGAAAAGTGTGACTCTGACTGACATGCCGCCGACTGCACGCAAGCGCGGCGGAGATTACATAATCGAGCGTCTTTGTTTTACTCCTGGTTTGTGGCCAACAAATCTCTTGTCCTCAAACCGCCATGCAAGTTGACAGCCAGCAGGCTTACTCCTTCCCCGCCTCCCTCACTGACCTCACCGACATCTTCAACCCCGACGTCTTTGCTGACGATCTCGCCAATGCCTTCGTCCACGCCCCCAACAGCTCTAACTCGCCTCCCACCGCTTCCTCGTCTCGCGGCTCGTCGCCCTATCTTTCGTCAATACAGACACCTCCTCAGTCAAACGCTTTCCCTGATTATACCCCCTCTTCTTTCTTTGGCCTTGACGACGACCTCCAGACAAAGCAGTATGATTCAATGATGAATATTCCTAATAACCCCTACGACTTTTTCACCGCCTTTGAAGGCGTTGATATGGGGATTGATGGCGGTTTGGGTATGGAGATGACCGCGGACATGCCGGGCATCAACACTGGCATCGTAGGCGAGACAATGGGTATAGATCCCCAACTCGTCGGCACACCTTCCGCGCACAGTGATATCGATGAGGAAGATGTCGAGCACGATGGCGATGTATCGGCTTCCCCTTCGTCTTCGGGCTCGCCACCGGCTACGAAAACGGCGGCTCCCAAGGTGCGGTCCGCGAAGCGTAAGGAGAGAGAGACCGAGACGGACGAGGAGAGGGAAAAGTTGACGCTTGTTATCCAGCCTGTCAAGGCAGGCGGACATGGTAAGGCGCGCAAGGGCACCGTTCAATCAGGAGGCATTGTGAAAAAGACGCCTTCTCCCAATCCCGTAACTGCCTCTCTTGGAAAGGAAAATGCTTATACTCCCACCTCTATCAGTTCCTTTGTTACTTCTCCGACGTATACACCTCCCAGCGCTTTCCAGCCTACAAATCTTTATAATAACCTTCAGTCTCAAGAAAGAAAGAAGGACGACAAGGACGATGAAGATGATGAGCTTCCACAGGACTGGAGACCTTCTCCAGAAGTCCTTGCGAAAATGACAAGCAAGGAAAAAAGACAGCTTCGTAACAAGATAAGCGCGCGCAACTTCCGCGTACGCCGAAAGGGTGTGTATCGTCATTGCTTCTACATTTTGATCGTAATATTTAATTTGCTTCGATCACAAAGAATACATTTCAACTCTCGAGGGCGACATTGCGGAGCGCGATCGACTCCTCGAGGCCATCCGTTCCGAGCTCGGCTCAACTCAATCCGAGAACCTGGCTTTGCGACAAGAGATTGCTACGCTAAAACGCACGCTTCTTGAGGGTCGTGCACCGACAATCGCTGCCGACGGTACTCCTGAGTATCCTTTACTCAATCTTCCTCCACCAGCCCCGCTTCCCGCACAGAGTGCTGCCGCGACGCTCCAAGCTCAGGCCCAGGCCCAAGCGCAGCAGCAGCCACAAGCACAGCCACAGCCATTGCTCACGCCAAACACGCAGAAAGATGCAACCAAGAATGGCAGGTTCTGGGGTGGCGTCAGGATGGGTATGGGTATGGGAGGTATCACACCTGTTCATCGCGTTGTGCTTCCTGAAATGTCTGTCGTGGATCTGTTCGCCAATCAGTTCGGTCCGAGTCCGTTTGTTGTACCGAAGGATGACAAATGGAAAGAGAATGTCAATCCTCTGCTCAATGAGCTCGTCGGGGAGAGGATTAAGCCAGAGAAGGAGAAGGAAAAGGAGAAAGAGCGGGAGAAAGAACGAGAGAGGATGCACAACCATCTGGGCTTCGAAGGTTTCTCGGATGTCAACCCTTTCACGATGAAGTCACTCGACGCGTACAGGATGCATCTGTGGGGCAAGATGGCGTCTCAGCAGCAGTTCACCCAGCAGCAACAGGCCCATGCGAACCAACACCTCACGAATCTCACGTCCCAGCTCCGCCCGGCGTTCTTCACTTCGCCCAATACGCCGGCATTCTCACTCGCGTCATTGTTGTCTGGGAAGCATCTCCACAACCCAGCACCACCCTACTCGCCCCCTCCGCCGCCATATTCGTCTCCGCCGGCGTCGCCTTTGCTCATGGGCAAGGGAAGCGTGGTGGAGAAGCTCGAGAGGGAGAGGAGGGAGAAGGAACGAGAGAGGGAGATGCAGAAGGAGAGGGAGAGGAAGGAGACGGCGATGTATGCGGCGATTGCGAGCCAGACGCTTCTGAAGAAGCTGGGGAATGCGTTTTGGGATGCGTTTGCTGGGTCTTCGAGCTCGGGCTCGGGACCGTCGTCGGCGTCGGGCCCGGGTTTGAGACCGTGGGACGCGGATAAGGTTAGGAAGGTGTTGGAGGGTACGGCGGTTGTGAAGGTTGTGGATGTTGAAGAGGTGAAGCATCAGCAGGAGAAGGAACAACCCCAGACGCAGACGCAACAGAAGGAGAGGAAGTGTTTGAAGGCGGCGGAGGAGTTGTTGGAGCAGAGTATGCGGAGTTTGACGCTGAACAAGAAGTCTTGAACAGCTGGAATTGTGTGGTATGTGTTGTTTGTTTTTGCTTTGATATTCTGGCTGACGAGCATATCAGTGAACAAGAGTAAAGCAAGAAGTTTTCTCCTTCGATGTACCATATAACAAAGATCGTGATTTAATACTGTAGTTCGCTTTCTCTCCTCTCTTTACCTATCCATATCTCTGTCCCCGCTCAACTGTCTTACCGAGCTTCATCTGGAATTGCTTTGCACCTGTCCTTCGGCTTCGTGTCCATTCGTTGTTGCTGCGTCATCGTCACGAACGTTTCAAGTACGGTAGTCATCGTACTGCCTCATTCACACTCTTTTTGTCGATTTCTTCTCTCCACCTTCACCTTCACCTTCGAATCGTGTTCGTGGATCGAACTCTTCTTCTTTTTGAAACTTGACCCAGGCTCTCTCTCCTTTCCTTTTCTGCTCCGTATTCTGCAAAGTATAGATCCCGGTTCTTTGAAGCTGCCTGTCTACTGCCCCTTCCCCCTCCCTATAATATCTTCCTTTGTCATTATTTATTAGATCTTGGATTGGACCAGATTGCATCTACTAGTATCTTAGTATACTAGTATTGAAATTACTATCGTAGTTTGTATATCCTTCGCTCCTTCGCATAAGCATCTTCAGAATCTTACAAGTTTCAACATTGCATCTGTGTGAGTTGGAGGGTTTCTTGATTTATGCTGGAGAAGGTGAAGTGTGTGATTCGTCAATTCCTATGCAAGTATAATGGTAGGTAGAGTGGAAGGACAATAGTCCTCATTGAGACATGCCAACGGAAACGGGATCTTGGTATATTACGGGGAGTGTAATACAGGTACAGTGCAGGACAGATAGACTAGACAGGTCTCTTGTGACCGCAAATTTAGCTCCCTCGCGGAGCGACCAAAAATTTGGAAGGAAACATACCTCGAAACTCATAAAAATGCAATAAAAATTTTTATGTGTGATTTCATAATACAGTCCAGATTTTGAGAGAAAAAAGTCAAAGTTCTGAAAGCCTATTATATGCCATAATAGTCACCAATCCCAACAAGCAAAGGCCCAGAACCCGCAAGGAAAGCGTGGATTTGAATCTACCTTCTTGATGATGGTCCTGTCACAAAACTACAAGATCCTGATTTCGTACCAAGTGACAGCATTGACGGACAATCAGACTCTGATTGGGAGGATGAAGGTTACCAAGGTGTCTTAATGCAAAACAAGCTGAATATGCAGTTCGAAAATACCGCTCACACCGTCGGATTGGGGCAGGAATCATGATGAGCATGAATATGCTCGTGAATTAGGTTTTCGTAACTTGTCCTCAAGTATAGATATACAAGGCATTAGATAAGATACATCGCTTAGATAAGATATCCAAATAAGGAAAAAAGGGTCCTAGTCTAGATTTGGGAGAGAAAAAATATTCAAACATGATGTATAGAAAATCAGTTACGTTGGAGTGAAAGCTATGGTTGAACAGAGTGCATTCCAAGAGTTTAGTAGAAAAATAATGATTTTTGATGGAAGAGATAGCATTTTGAAAATTCAGGTTCCGAACTGTCTATTTTGAGCGTCCTGCACTTGTATGACAATGAGGAAAGGAAAGGAGAAGGAAAAATAAGGAGACGGAAGCAATCGGACGAAACATACGGAAGTAAACATAAAATCATAAATACATAATAATCGTCGAATATACAGGA